TACGTTTCTCGTTACTTTAAACTTAACAACTTTATATAATACACGCTATAAATGACAGCGTTTCACAATCTCAAAAACTTCGCTCTCTATGAATGCAAAACCCACCCTTGCTCGAAACAAATCGTAAATTACCCGAAACTCACGTGACTACTGTTCGCTTAACCATACATTCATCATCGTCCCCCCTGACTTTTCTCGTCAGGCTTATATACTAACAAAGAGGCTTCGCCAAAATTCGAGGAGTTCCCTGGTATCACGTGACTTCCGCTGTCGTAACAATGGCCTGTTTAATTGTTTTTAATGTATCCTGGAGGTTTGTCATATTTTCCACAGACATTTTATTTTCACCACATGCTTTTCACTTTCATTACAACCTGTTTAACAAAATTATCTTAACAGTAGTTTTTGAGCATTTTATTAGACTATTACTAGTATTACTATTAGGGGAAATGTATCAAGGTCTTACCCGTAAACGTTAAACTAGAGATAGACCTTCTTTATGTATAACTTATTAAAAGATTTAGCTGAAATCAACCGTCTACGAGGCCCCCAGTGGTATGTTTGCGTACTAATAACGCAAGAAACCAAAGAACTGATAGCCAATCGTGTAGTGTTATGGTTAATTACAAACAAACCCGTCGAAGACTAAGAGCTTAAAATTAAAATGTTACATTTGGTAAGACTCCTATATCCCTTCCTCATGTTCATGGTTCGATTATATGTTTTATTATATTTTGAATACATGTACAAAATCGTGTAATTTGTAAACATTTGACTTTGTTTTTATTTCAGTATTTGGCAGTGAACGCAAGTATATACAAATATGATTTAAGGATTTTATTTATTTATTTCATTTTACAAAAGTAACATTATGTTTGCTGTTCATGAGTTCCACGTGGTTAATTGGGTAAGTTTTTGGTAACAGAGTCAGGATTAAGCCTTTAGAGTTTAGTTTAATTTTAAAAATGCCCCATGTAGTAAAAGTAGTAATTTGTATCATTGTGAAGCTTTTAATAAACTAATTTTAGGCAGTGGCTTAGAATTATATAGTATTATGGTCATATATATATTACTGCATTAAAAGTTGGATATAAAAATTAGTTCAGCATACAATATTCAATGCATATTCAGTCTCTCAGAGGTCATAATACTATTATAACCTTGGCATGATCTGGTGATTAGGGCATTTGCATTTGGTGGGTCATGGGTTCGAAACCCATCACAGAGCATGCTTAACCTTTCAGCTATGTGGGCAATAATACAATGTGATGGTCAATTGTACTATTCTTTGGTAAAGAGTAACTCAAGAGTTGACAGTGGGTGATGATGACTAGCTGACTTCCCTCTAGTCTATCACTTCAAAATTAGGGTTGGCTGGTGCAGGTAGCCCTTGAGTAGCTTTGTACAAAATACAACAAACAAACTAAACAAGCTGTCATAACTTTTATCAGGCTATAATAAATGTTTGTTACTTCCATTTCTAATAATAACAAGGGATCATTTGGCCTATCTATACTCCCATTTTCTACTACCACCCTACTATATAAAAACCCTTTTTTATATATCCAATCCTGTTCTCTAAAATACTGAAAAAGGTATATTTTAATAGTAATACTATCACACACTTCCTTGATGCAAAAAACACATTTAAATTTTTTCCATATAAAGCTCCTGTAAACATAAAGGCACGTAAAAACTGTGTGTATAACTTATACAAGGTATAAGTAAACTTGCTTATGAACATAGTTTGGATGGATTGTGTAAAAAGAAAAAACAAATTATTAAACATTTTCAGTTTTGTAAATAGAGAAAAAAAGTATATCACATATTAATTTTCACTTGTGTTTATAAAAATTCTTTTATTAGACCAGTTTTCTTCAGATGCATTAACAAACTTCTTTTATTACATAGGCTATAAGTGTAATAGTACGAGTCATACGAACCTCAAGTATTATTTTTAAGCATGTATGTGTGTATAATAAACACTATATATATAAGTATCACCACGTAGCAGGTACAGTTATTAACACTGTTTAATTACAGGTACTCATTCACGAGTTGTGGTAAACATATTAATTAATTAGTATTTTTCATCTGAAAGAAGCTGATTTTTAATTTATTTTTTAAATTCTTAGAATTTTTTTCACAAGTATTTGTCAATAGACTCAGCATATATTTCAATGAAGAGTTTATTAAATTGAGAAAGAAAAAAGGATAAATTAAAAATGTTCTTGAACAACATGCTGCAGTAGTTAAGTGTGTACAGTTAGGCTTACAGCTAATTAATTAGTTTGTAATGCACATGGTGCTTGTATGAGTGTTTATAAGAAGGTAACCACATGTATTATCAAATTATGTTGTAATATTAAAGTGGACACAAGTTCAACTCTTAATATATATATATATATATATATTAAACATATAAAATGTAAGGAAAACAATGGATCTGTAGGTCCATCTGGGCTGTCTCATTTACTACATTTTAAAATAAAATACTCAAAGCCATATGTTATCATCTTATTATTCAAATATTATCGACCCTTCCCTTAAACACCTTTCAGTTTACTTCATCCACAACATATGAAGGAATCACTTTCCAATTGAAGGCCATTCTCCCTATTAGAAAAATAAATATCTTAGTTGCATGTGATTCTTACCTTGCTAAGATTTATATTTGTATCCCCTAGTCCTACCAATCTTACCATTAAGTATGGAAAAAGATAATGTATGAACACGATTGATTCTCTTAACAATCTTAAACATCTCGGTCAGATCCCAACTCTTCTTTTCTCAAGAGAAAATAGTTTCAGTGATATACCCTGTCCTTGTATAACAACCTTTCCATCCCATATATTGATCTTATAGCCCTTATGTGAACCCTTTCCAACAAGTCCGTATCCTTCTTTAGGGAAAAAGCTGAAGACTGAATACAATACACCAAATGTGGCCTGATCAATAATCTGTATAATGAAACTATAACCTCTTTAGACTATTATTTAATATTTCTGTACATACAACCTAAAATTCTACTTGCCCTGCCACTAGCATCAGTACACTTCTTGGATGGCATAAGAGACTGATCAACCAGAACACCAAGATCCTTTTCTTCCATAACACTGTTAAAGTTACTCCCATCAGAATTATGATTTAAATTATAATATCCCACATGCAATAATTATAATTAAAATCCATCTGCCATTTATTTACCCAGCTTACCAAATTATCTAACTTTTTATGTAAAGCAGTAGCTTCCCCCTCATAACCAGCAACACCCAAGCCCATAATATCATCAGCAAATGTAGGTAATTTATGTACTATTCTTTCATCTGTGTTATTGATGTAAAGTAAAAAGAGTAAAGATCCTAATGCTGAACCTTGAGGTACCCAACTTGTGACATTAGTCCAGTTTCACTGAACTCCATTTATAACAACCCTTTGCTTTCTTCCCTTCAACTTTTTTTTTCTACATCTGTAATAAGAGACTTTTTTTCTTTTAACAAGCCTTTTATGTGGCACCTTGTCAGATCCTCTTTTTTAAAAAAAAGATTGTGAATCAATACTCATTTGAACTCTCATTCTTTGGGCCTCCACTAGATTTCTTCAGGCATGAGCAGTGGTTAATATCTTACAGTAAATTAATGTTACACCAACCTCACCAGTCTAAGACCCTGGATCAAATCTCATCCATTCCAACCTTGAGACTAACTGAATAACACCTAAAGTCATCAGCAGACTAGAGGTTCTGTGACTAGCATTTTGATTAATTGCATATTAATTGTTCGTGCTACAATTTTTTTTGGTTCTTCAATATTCTGCCTAATTAAAATATTAGTACTCCCACCACCCACCTGAAAAAAAAGGTAATTATGTTATCATTTAGTGCAATTTTGTTTTTAGAAGCACTGGCTTAGACTAGTATTTATGTAGTTAGTTAATTGAGGAAGTAGAATTATAGATGGTACAATTTTTATGCTTTTATATTCTTCTTCTATTTCTTAGATTTCACAGGTTATTTAATATTTATTACTAATTTATTCACAAACACAGAACACTTTGTTTAGACTTCCTCAATTGCCAATATTTAAATTTCCCATCCCATCTGTACATTAGTTGGAGAATCACAGCAATATAGTTCTTTAAGGAGTAGTACTACTTCATTGTCTTATTAGGTCAATGAATATTTTGAAAGAAAATTTATTTTACATACATGGTCTATAGTTAGTAAGCATTGTATTGTAAACCTTCTACTGTAGCTAAAGTTGCCTTTATTGGATAAGTTTTTCAAAGAAATATTAAAAAAAAAGCTCATTTCAACCTTGTGTCTTTCACAGTTTCCATAATGATCATACTGGCTGTAATTTATTAATCAGCATTGTGGCCAATTACATTAATTATTGACTGATTTCCAATAAATTGACATTCTTCTACAGCAGATTCAGAAGCTGAAGTTAGGAGAATCTAGAGTCAAATATAAAAAAGGGAATTACAAGCATTTGTTATATTCTCAATCACACACACACACACAAAAATTAAGTTAATTTTTCTTGTACATTAACCCCTTAATTTTGAGGGGTTTGAATAAAGATTAAATCCCAAATTTTAGAATTATATCTTGGGTTTCATTTGCAAGTATTTTTTTTCTATCACATTAAGACTAAGTAAAAACATATAAAAATGACATGATTTGATAGATTTTATTTTGGACTGAGTGGTTTCAATGAGATTTTTGAAATGGTGTTTTTGCACTATTGTTCAACAGATTATTCTTTATGCTTTCTAACAAAATCATACAAAATTGATAAGTTCATAAATAATAATAATAAAAGATGTATTATTAATTTTCTATAATTTTCAGTCCTTTTTGTCATTGTCATGGTTAATAGCCTATACAATCACCTAAATCTGTGGGTTAATTGGTTACTTTTTATTACTTGTATTAATTGCCAATAGTTGTATCAAATATTTCAGGTGTTGTTTTTAGGTTAGTCATGAGAAGGAGACTGTGTGTGGTGGTAGAAACTAGGGTTTGATTCTGGGTTTTTTTCCTGAGGTTTCTTCTATTAAAACTTGAATCGACCTAACTTTGTAATGTTTTTAAGAAGCTGACTTCTGCTAATTTGACTCGGCAAGTTTTGAATTAGGTTCATTTGAAAGGATTTTTTTTATCTTTTCACATCTGATAAAAATGCTTTTCAATTGTAAGAAAGTGAGAGCAAAAGTTTAGAAAAATGTAATATGTCCACCTAACTAATAACTCACTCAGTCAACCTCGAATAGAAGCCATAAAAACCTAGATACTCTTCTTGAAACCACTCAGTTGATTCAAGTTGTAATGAGGGAGATTGGACAACTGAATATCACACCAGCATTTCTAACAAGAAGATGTAGGATGAAACCTCAGCCTACACCACAGTTAGTTTTCTCATGATTTCTTTGAAGATGGGAGCAGATGAACAACCAAAGTTTTTTATATAAACTAATTAGTGATTAGTACCTAGTAATAAAATTAATTAGTCAATAATTATATTTATACAATTGTTTAAGCTACAACAGTTGATGTTGAATTGCTAAAAAACTTACCACAAACACTTAAAAGTTTGTTGTTTTTCTGTTGTTTTGATAGGTAGCAAGTTCATTTGACTCTGATAAAGAAGAAACTTCCAAACTACTCCGTGCCCTTCAGAGACTTAACAACCATTTATAACCATGTCCATAGTTACTTAAGAACAAACAAGCCCTTCAAAGTGAGATGATTGATCTGCTGTTATTCATTTAATATGAAAAATTCATGGATTTTCCTAAGAAGAGCCTGGCTAGCAAAGAAATATTATAATTCAAAAAACTGTGCAAGAAACTTTATAAATTTAACTAGTTGTCCATCTTTAAAGGATAGTCAATTACTAGGATATGAAAAAGAAAAAATATTGTTCTTAGCTTCAAGAAAACCAATCACACTTGAGAAGTATATTCATCAAAGAGCAAGCAACATTTTGGATACTTACTTCTGGCATTTTAGAGAAAACAGTAATTATTTAAAAACAGCAGTTCAGGGATTCACAAAAGAAAAGTTTGAAAAGCATAAAAATACTTCATCTTCGAGATCACCCAAGACAAATTTAAATACTCTACATGTATCATCTAAGAAAACAAATGAAATCCTCTTTCTGGAAAAAACTTTAGGAGTGGACAACTTAACAGATTCTAATTTAAAAGAAATTGCCACTAAGTTGGCACTTAAAGAAATGAGTGTTAGTGCTCAAACTATTGAGTATTTGAAAACTGAATGTGCAAAACGAGTTTCTAAATGGCCAGTAGATACCTCATTGTATGTTTTAGATGCACTGTTCATTGTTCTTGGGGAAGAAATTTTCAGCCATTATATTTTTAAAAATTTCCTATATTCTGTAGAAAAAAATGTTGAGAACATAACAGAATTTCAGCTTGTACAGTTGTTGTTTATTCTTGGAGTAAATAAATTGGCTCCAAAGGACCTCATGCAAAAGTTACTTGCAAAGACTGAAATTATGTGTAAAAACATTGCAAAAAATGAATGGGGAATTATTTGTCAGGCTCTATTCAAAACTAAAACCCAGATCACATCTAGCACACTCTTGCATTATATTGCCGAGGTTACAGCCAATTCTCTGGAAGATATTGACAGATTTTCACTGGTATCTATTCTCAAAGCTTTGAGACATGCTCAGTTCTATCACAAACAGCTGATACTTAAAATACAAGATTATATTTCCAGGAATATCAAATCTTTTAACTTTGTAGAATGTGTTCACTTCATGGCCATGTTTAGTAACATTAATGTTTACTGTGAAGATACTTTTTTTTACCTTGAAAAACAAGCAGTTGATACCTTAAAAAGAGAGTTGGAAATGGCACCTTCAAAGAGGAAAGATCCTCATCGTTTGAAAATGCATCCATCTGAGCGAGTAAGAGTTAAAGACCTTGCAAGGTTCTTGTGGTCTGTTTCTCATGTGCATCATGTTATGCACACTCCAAACTTATTTCACACCATTTACCAAATCATTGATAATAAACTAACAGAAGGAGACTATATCAAAGATCCTCATTCACTGCTAGATTCTCTTCAGTCATTGGCTGTGATTGAACAATTTCCTGGAGTATTTCTGAAAGAGGTCTTCAAAGGGTCTTTCATTCAGAGATTACAGAAATTAAAGAAGAAGAAACCATTCCATCAGTTATTTTTTCTTCATCATACTTTACTTATTGAACAACCAAATTTCTGTGCCAAATATCTCTGTAATGAACCACCAGGAACATATGGTGAAAGTTTAAGCAAAAGTCTATTCAAGGAAATCCAAGAAAGACCATATTTAGATAATTTAATGGTTATCTTGAAAGCTTGTGGTATAGGTGAAGAAAAATTCAGATGCTCTTATTGTTTACCACACATACCAATAGCTGGAATTGAACTGGTAGTTGAAGACCAAAACACATCTACAAGCTCTTCTCTCAAACCGTCACATGACTTGATTGTTTCTGATGATTTACTTAATGCTATTGTAGGAAGAACCAAGTCTTTTGCTCAAAGAAGTGACACCCAAGAGGAAAGAACTACATATTCTATAGAGAAAAATGATGACATAGACAGAAAGATTGAATCTTGCACAGAAACAAATTATTCACTATTAGAAAAGTCCATATCTAACAAACAAGAGAGCTTATTGATGTTTTCTCAGTTAAAAAAAAAGTATAAAATTGTACAACTAGAGGTATTAGATGAGGCAGTTTGCATTCGTAACAGTTCTTCTCCTCTTGGTCTGATGAAAGTAAAACTGCGACAGCTCAGTAGATTGGGTCATGAAGTTGTGTTGTTGAATAAAGAAGACATTATCAAACTTTTAAATCAATATCGCAGTGATCCTACTAATTTAAGCTGCAATCTAAAATCTTTGATTTTAGAGAAAAAACATTAAAAATTGAAAATGTTCAAAATACAAAATTTATTTGTAGGATAGACTGATTACAGTGAAGAAAAAAATCAATTAACTTATCAGCTGGACATAATTCTTCATGTTTACATCATTTTGACATAAAAAAGTTATCTTCTTGAACAAATAAATGATTTTTTTATTAAATTTGTTTGAAATTAATTTCAAGCTTTAATGAACCTAGCATAATTAGTACATTATTGCATTCTGAAAAGTTGTTGATATTTGAATATCAAGTCTCATTGATGTGCTCTATAAGCATATTCTGGTTGAGATGCATGTGGTAAATGAGCAAAGAAAAAAAAAGAAAATTAATGTATGAGTTAGTTTCTTAACTCTGCTAAACAAAAACAATAATATATAATTAATGTCTTTTTAACTGATAATAACTATATGTTAGATAATTTATCCACAGGTTTTAAAAAATTACCCAATATTCTAGAAAACAATTTATTATAATTGTGCTCTTATAGGTTCATTAAGGTATAAATGCTTGAAGAAATGTTTTTGATCAACTGATGTAGCTCTTTTTAACTATCCCTAATTTAAATATATAATAATTGAAGCCATTGCCCAGATTATTATTTGAATGTTCTTTCATTGTTCGTGTGTTTGACAATTATTGTTACATGGCAATATGCTTAAAAACATAAATACAAATAATCAGTAAAAATATACATTTGGCAGTAAAGATTTTAAAAAAGGAGGTAATTTTATGAGGATCAGTTTAAACATGTTGAATTACTTCAATGTGGACCTCATACACCAAATTTTCAAAAACAACTAACACAAGTGAAATAAACAGAATTAAAGGAGTTAAAGAAACAGGGTATTTTGGTTGTTTAGGTAGAAATATAATCTGTCTCTTTTTATTGATTGTGGATTGGAGTTGGGAAACGTTACATTTACAAAAAAAATAAAAGTCTGATCTAGCAATTTTATGCCCTAAAGTTGCAGTGATGAAAATTCATTTAAGTTTTCTGGACTACTGTTTTTCTGTTGTTTTTTTTTAAGTGTGCATTGATAACATCCAGTATACTCCACTCAGCACTACCATTGATTAAAGTGTAAATCTGTAGCTTGGGGAACCAAAAGCTTAACCCACTAGGTTTACTCGTAGTAAACTTTAAATAATCAACTATCCAATGCAAATTTGATTAGATATACACTTTATACAGAGTATCCCACACTACCAGGAAAAGTTGGGAGAAAATTTATTTCATTCCTGGTTGTGAAAAAGTTTTGAATAATGATAAAATGGTGTGAAACCAGGAAAACCCTAGAAATTCATGAGTTATGAAGCTGCTTTTATGTTCTTTATGAAGAATGGAATGGATTGTCTGGTATTGGACTTTAAAATATAGGAAAACTAGTCAGGTGGTTGGTTGTTTGATAGTTCAGCAAACCAGAAACTGGAATGCTTTGTTGTTATTTGAGGCCATTCTAAACTTTGAATTCAGATCTGGTAATGGGATTGGGTTTTCCTTATATGGTTTCTGTTTAGCTAAATTATTGGCAGTGATGTCGAGTTTTTTGCTACTTTCAAACATCTTGTTTTACCTGATTTAGATGAATTGTTATTTTTAGCAAAAATGTGTTTAATTTTGACAAATTTATTACCCGATAACAAAACGCTATGTGGCTCTTGGCACTTTTTTAGAACTTAATTTTGCCAAATGAATGATCAGTGTGCATTTTAAAATAATCAATTCCTTATGAAAATGATTAATATAATGTATCAGAATGCGAAGTAATATATTGCAGTTTGGTTTTACTAGAGAATATGGACTTGCAACTGTTACGAATATTTATTATATGACCACTTTTGAAAATGATTTGGATTATAATTATCTGTTACATGTACTAGTGACTGCAAAAAAATGTGGGATCCTTGTTGATCTCCCTGAGGAAATTGTTGCAGTTGTTATTAGGTTAAAGAATTTGAGAATGTTAAAGTTAGAGGGTTTAACATTTCTTTATGTAAAACATGATGAGTTGCTCATTTAGAGTTGCTTTTGTCTAGAAATATTTTGTTTCACTCCAGCATGAGACAGCCCACAAAAAAAAAAGAAATAATTGAAATAACCAATACTATTGGTTGAAAATTTTCAAGTTTTATAACAGAATTGTGTATGCCATTACATCAGGTGCATTCTTTAATATTTACAACTATGCACCATTCTGGGCAACATCCCGTATCACTGGAAATTCTGACTATGTAACTATGACCCAGAGAGTGACAGTTCTGAATAATCCAAGTAATCTTTGATTGGCATTCAGCTTATTTCAGTAAACTACAATGTATTGTGGAACAGTATAAATTTGGATAACTTCACACACACACACACACACAGTTGTTTTGTTTTCACTGGAAAAGTTTAATCAGGTGCAAATCAATTTATGTCAGTTAAAATTTGATGTCTTGTAATCTATTCATATGATGTGGATTTATCTTTCTGTTGATAAAATTATTTCTTCATGCAGTAGTGTAAGAGTTAGATCAGAATGAAATGAAAGATACTTGTAGTACGATAAAAGTTTTATCTAAGAACCACATTTGGGTAATGTAGTATATAATTAACACTGTCTGTGCATGTTTATTAGTTTTAGAATGCTTGAAGATATTCTACTTCTATGTGTATCACCAGGAGAGGCACCATAATAAGATTAGATCAAGATTAATACGATTATATTATGTGGAGTTTTATATTACATGTTTTATTTTGCTTGTGTTGATGCTTACGTTATAACTAACGTTTGTAAAGTACGAGTTTAAGTCATCATAAATCTTCTATACAAATTACAACGTTGATAATCACAGTGTACGTGTATAATTGTATCAAGATATCTAAACGCATTGAGTTTAGATTTTTAGTGACAGCTGGGAACCATTCAACACTTTTTGATTGATATGTTTTAATTTGAATTAACATCTTAAACTGCCACTACTCTTGCTTTACAATGTAAAATAATGCATATATGTATATTAAATTTTTTATTCAGATTCCTTTAAAGATAAATGATTAAAAGCAGACGCATTCAGATTATGGATACAGAGAGACAAAATAAGTATAGATACTACAACTATGGGAAGAAGAGAGCTCACATCCCATGTACAAGTAAATAAAAAAAAAAAACATTGAAAGAACAGGGACATTGAAAATGAATGGAAATATGAGATTTTTTGTAATGTGCTCACCTAGTAATGCACCAGTTGCAGCACTAGCGAAATTTAGTAAAAACATTGAAACAAATTGTGTTTTTTCTTACTGTACTGAAGAAGAGACATTAGAAGCTGAAATTAATTGGTGTTTAAAAACAGTTCAAATTACTTCTTTTTTTCTTTTTTTTTTGCATCATATGAAGAGACGGTTTTTCTTTTCAACAAATGTTTTTAGATTCAAGGACAGCTCAACCTGTGCCGTGGGGAAAATACAACCATGTAGTTATCTTGGTTTGGCATCAAACTTTGTTTAGGCAATTTATATTGCTATTTGATGAATCTATAAATAATAAATTGCAGAAAAAACATATTCTGTTTAGATTTTGGGACAACAACAATTTTTTCTGAAGAACCTACAATTCGGGGGTCATTCCCACAGTGCCCACATCGTTTATATATTACCAGAAGTAGTGTTTTGTCGGGTCATAAGAACTTTTGCCTAACAACTTCACTCAATTGGTCTTTGCACCCGTCATTACATGAACAATTGGCTGCTGCTCACTTCTTCCCATTCACAGTCTTGAGACCACACCCATTTACTCATACAAGAAGCAGCAGGGGTGGGATTTCCGATAAAGGTGGAGAAGTCCATCCTTACACCCACTCAATGCCTTGTTCATTGGGGGTTTTCTTCTTTTCCAACCTCAGTTGTTCCAAGCCTTCTCCTCTTTGAGATATGGAGCAAACAGTCCACAAGGTCCTCACCTCACATTCTCTCACAGCTCAAGAGGTTCTATCTCTTTTGGGGATGTGGACTTCCTTAAAAGCTCTCATTCCCATGGGTCGACGTCATATGCATTCCCTTCAGTGGACACTCCTCATTCAATGAACTTCTACTCGCATCCCTTGGACCACTCTCTTACCCTACCTTCCCTAATCGAAGCTGACCAGACCATGGTGGTGGTTCTTCTTCCTACAACTCGTCTGGATTTACATATGTTCATTGGTGCATCTTTAGAGGGTTGGGGTGCTTACCTCAACTCTCAGGAGATTTCCGGTCTCTGGTAGGTCAAGGAGTCTTCATATCAACATTCTTGAATTTATGATGGTTCATCGAGCTTTGGCCTACTACCTTCCTCTCCTGCAGGGAAGGGTGGTTGTGGGATACTCCAACAACTCCACAGTGGTCACTTGTATCACCAGAGCAAGAGGGTACCAAATCCAGGTATCTGTGCTTTCAGACCCTGTATCTCTATTTCTGGATCCACAGTCACCACATAGAGGTCTTGGCTTGCTATATTCCTTGTCCCTAAATCCACAGATTTTTTGGTGGGCGTGTTCTTAGCTGGTAACACCTAATATCAATTCTTTCACCACTCATTAGAACACCAAAGTTCCTTCCTTTTAGTCTTCCGTTCCACTCCTGCTTGTTTTGGGAGTGGACTCATTCAGTCAAGATTGAAGTGTGTCTTCACATCTATGCTTACCCTTCTATTCGACTCATCCCCAGAGTTCTATCCCTAATCCAAACCACTCTGTGTCTACTCTAGTTCTGTTGGTGGCTCCATATTAGCTGGCACGACCACCCATGATTCCCACTGCTCCGACCTTTAACTTGTACAACCTCCCCTACCTTTGCCTCTATTTCAGTTATTTGGGATGGTGCAGACGAATTCTCATTTCTCGTCCTGATTTTTTCTTTTGCAATACTTTAACATCATATGTCTTGATAAGGTGTTTGCCATCTATCTGAAACTGCTTTATCCAGCTTCACTTAGTAAAGCTGGGTATAAAAATGGGGGTATAAGTGCTATTTACATATGCGCTATTAAGCCATATCAGTGTGGTAACTATCCAATGTCAAGGAAAAGTTTCTGTCTGTCTGTGGACGCATCTCCTAAACGAGTTGACTGAATCAGACCAAACTTGGCATGTTAACTCTTTAGTCCATAAGCAAAACAAATTAATATTAAACTTTCCAAAAATTTTAAACATATAAAAATATAATAGGATAACCACTATATCATTTCTGTAGTAGCTATTGTTAGTAGTTGAGTTTGAACAAGTCTCACACCATAACAAAATTCTAGAAGCCAAAAGATTATTAATAAAATTTTAACCCTCTTGGCTTGTTTCCCATAATAGTCAAAATATATAGTAATAGAATATCTAGCTACAATGTGGAAGTGAATGTTGTGGTTGGTGTTTGGTCGAGTTGTTGTGCTTGACCTGGGAGGGTCTGATCTCTTCCACCTACGATGCGGAGAATAAAGATATTGCTGCTGTTTAAGTTTCTGGCTCTTTTCTGATTTATACCATTTATCTTCCGGGTTTATACTAGGGTTAGAATATAAGTTAAACCTCAATTAGAGAAATATTTCGTAATTAAAATATTTTAAAGGATATTTCTTACTTGATGTAAAATATAGTTTTCTGTAGAAACAAAATTCAGGATTATTAATAAATTTAAAGCATTAAATGTACCAACTTCTGACAGTAGAAATCTTGATCACATCTCTACTGTGAAATGAGTTGTTTTGAACAAGAAGTAAAACAACTGCTTTTCCATTTCTTCCAAGTTTTTCGACTCCACTGCTACACTTCCCCTGTCTCGCAACAATTTTCTTGGAGAATGAAAGCTACTGAAAATCCTCACAGAGATTTTGCTCATATTTAGTAAGTTTATGTGTGTTTTCAGCACTTTAAAGACAGAGAAGTGCAGTCTCCTTAAAATAATCTGCAAAACTTTTAAGGTGAGAAATTTAAAGTGCATTACAAGAGATTCAAAAAGAAAGCCCATTATGGAAATAGTTCACGTTTACTTGTACTTTCACCAAGGGAAGAACTGGCTATGCAATTTGCCGCTCAAAAAATAAGTCAAATTGCACATCTACCCAATTACGACAAAGAAAGCAAGTTAATGTTTTAGATTCAAGCGACCTTTCTTCATTAGTCAAGCTAAAGGAAGGGTCTGTCTTTAGTTTTGGAACATTCAATCCTGAAAAAGACGAGGTGGAGAAGAATTTAAACACCAACGAAGG